CTCCAGATCCTTGATCATTTTAGTCGCCCTCCTCTGGACACTTTCCAGCTTGTCAACATCTCCCTTCAATTGTGGTGCCCAGAATTGGACATAGTATTCTAGTGTGGCCTGACCAAGGCAGAATAGAGACTACGAATGAATACCAGGTACTGTAGCTACTTTTAAAAACTCTATGAAATTCACAGGGTTGCCATAAGTTGACAATCAACATACACATACATGTGCACAACTATCTCATGTGGACTTTATTCTGAGAGTGTCCTTGGAAGCAGCCAGAAACAATTGAAGAAGCTTACTTCCTATCCCTTTGATTCAGCCCTATGTTCAGTGAGATGGCCAACCCAGACACCAAACTTAAAGAATCTCATGAAAAGGCATAGAACTTCCAGGTTTTGAAAAGAAGGATATGAAAAAGTAACAACTGTTAGTTATTTAATGTGTTATTATAGTATGTTTACTATTAGTATGGGTGAGAGAAGCACTTGTGGTATCTCCTACCTCATGTGCCAAAAAAAGTCTAGTTCGTAGGACTATATATTTTGACGTAGGTGGTGGAGGCTACAATTTGCTGCTCTACTTCAGACATCAAAATGTTTTGGAGCAACTGTTTCAATTATAAGAGTTGGCATGTTTATTCTGGAAGAACAAAGATGGCACAGCATGCAGTCTTTAAATATCTAAAGGTGGAGTCAGTGGTATGGAAAGGTGAAATGAGCTTATTTCCCATGACTCTAGAGAATTGGATCCAAACTAATAGATTCCAAATATAAGAAAAATTATGATTAAACATTAGCAAGAACTTGGTAACTTCCATTGTCTAACAGTGGAACAGGTAGGCTTGTAGAGTGTTAGACTCACCTTCCCTGGAGGCTTGTAAATAGAGGTCAGATGGCTACCTCTCAAATGTCGTTTAGAAGTGGATTTCTGGACTGGCAGGTATGACACTTGGGATTCCTTCCAGCTCTATTATTTTATGAACTCTTTTAGGCACATCTCATTTTTCTTCTTGCTTCTGAACAATACAACCACCAAAAATATAGTCTGAGGGCATATGTGCATGACAGTTCTATGCCAGTTTAAATGTCATGGCTTCCCAGTAGAGCTTTGTACAAATGTCATCGCAAAATTCTTCATCCTATTTATAAGCAGAAGAACTAGGCATATTTCTCCCATGTGTATGTGTGTGTTAAATTTTCCCAATAATTTATTAGTGGTGGAATTCACCTTTAGTAATGATTGCACCACAGATTCTTCCTTGCGTAAGGGTTTGTGTTACTGTAAGTTGGAAAAGGGGGAAATGGAAATGTAGCTGAGATACCATTTTTATCATGTCCAGTGGTTTCATCCTCTCCAATGGTTCTCAACATTTGGTTCTCTGGACTCTAGCTCCCACAATTCCTAAAGGCTGGTAAGCTGGCTGGAATTTCTGGGGGTTGAAAACTAAAACACCTGGAGGCCCAAGGGCTGAGAATAACTACATTCCACACCTTCTTTCTTAGAAAACCAACAAATCTTCTGAGAAATTTCAGTTCTGCTCTACTTCCTCCATAATCTTGGAGGGTCCAATATGGTGAGATATTAAGGACTATTTAGGAGATCCCTAGTACTAGTCTCTCAAAACCTCAATCTATTCAGAAGAAGAAAAGGACAAATACATTTACATCTGAAATAGAGACATAATAGATAATATTTAGAGAATATTATCCTTGGAGTTCTTAACGAGAAGGAATTTTTATTGAGCCTTCAAATGCTTTCAGCTCAAATAGTGCCAAAGCCCCCTCAAAACATAATTGATGTGGATGATTAACATTTTCACTGTTATGATTAGCATGTGACAGAACCCACATAGAATCAGCTAGCAGATGTTGAGCATCATGGATCAGCCATGCATGCTGATAGACAAAGTGTAACAACTTTTTTGTTATCAGATCTGCCACATGGTAAATGGAAAAACAATAACCATGCCCTATGAAAATGGGTTGTATGAACGATCTGCTATGGTGCAAAAAAATGATCATGTGTAGATTGCTATCTTTGTAGATGGGAAACACAGTCCTTTTTCCATTGTTGCCAATGGATCATACTTGCCCAAACATAGGGGGCTGTGGGAAATGTTTCAAAAACATTGTATTTGTGTCCACTCCAGTTATATTCCTTTGAATAACAGCCTCAATTCCCCTTCCATTAAGACCCAAACAGTAAGAAAAAACATCAGGGAAAGGCTATGCTTCCTCCAGGATCTGGCACTAGTTGTTTTCCACAAAAGCTCCCAGCTCATGTTAATACTTTTTGTTGTCAAGCTTTGGCTTTTGTGCTGAATGTTTCTACTTTCCTGGCATTTCATAAGAAATGAAACTCCAATTTGTCTTTAATGGACCAGCTTTTCTTCTGACACAGATTTTGCATAGATAAAACAACTACTTTCTAGGGGAGCCGCTTTTTTTTTAAGGGGACTCTGGAAATCTGTTTCCAGACTTACAGTGATGTCATTTCATGTTGCAAGAGAGGGGCTTGTTAAACTCCTGTGGCAGTTAATAAAAATAAAACAAAGTGACAACATTAAACTGCTGCAGGAAACATAAAGTTACACTTAACTAACTTTTTTCATGCTCCTTCCATCTGGTTAAGTTTTAGGAGGTTCTGGAATTATTTAGCTTTGAAAATCACAAGTAATTCTAATGTGTGCTAAATTTCTGATCTCACATTCTCTAATGGGCCAAGGAACAATAATTAGAAATTTTTACTACTTGCAAATATGTGGGAAATTACTACTTAGCTGCATTTGATTGGCAAAAGCATTGTATTCCCATCCCCACCCCCTAAATCTGTCCTGGAACTTTATGTGAAAGGCTATTTTCTCCTTCAGTTCCAAGTGAAAACCTTCTTGGCAACTAAAAATTATATCCAGTACAACTTTTCACAGGACATAATTTTCAACCCTCTTTAAGAATATTTGTATCTCAGTGTATTTGCCAAGAAATCTAACATGCTGCTGCTAAGACGACCTGGCATAGTAAATGTTGTAAACTCAAGATTTTGCTACTCAAATTTTCCATTAATGTCCCCACAACAGGGGGTGGGGATTTAACTTTGTTTTTCCTGCAGAAGCCTTTTACCATACAACCACAAAATAACTAAATATCTAGCAGTAGCTAATTTCTGTTGAAAATGTTCTTTCTCCAGAAAGAACTGTAGGTCAGTCTGTTTATAAATCCCATCTAAAGCTGTGTTTGCCTTGTGGGAGAATATAGATGTTCTTTCACTCACATGCTAAAGATTCAGTGCAGCACAGAACGTGCTCGCTCTAAGAGTTCCTCTCACCCTTCCGAGAATCACAAGTTTATGATAAGAGATCTGACACTTTCTTGGAGGTGCTTATTTTCCCCAAGTTGTTTTCCTTTTAAAAAGCCAAGCTGAAGTTTGCAGACAGGGAAGTAAATTATTCCAGTGCCAATCTGCAGTTTAAGGAAAGGAGAGAGAAGTGATTTGCGATTGTTCCACCTGTTTCAAACAACAAGCTGTGCTGACTGAGGGAAATGCCACTCTGGTCACCTTGGCTCTTGAGCAAGTAGAAAGGTGGGTGTGAATTACCTAAACATTGTGTTGTCAAAGGCTTTCGTGGCCAGAAGCACTGAGTTGTTGTGTGTTTTCCAGGCTTTATGGCCATGTTCCAGAAGCATTCTCTCCTGATGTTTCACCTGCATTTATGGCAAGCATCCTCAGAGCTTGTGAGATCTGCTGAAAACTTGGCTGGACTTTCCACAGATATATAAACCCTTCTTGCCCAGTTTTCAACAGAATTCACAACCTCTGAGGATGCCTGCCATAGATGCAGGCAAAATGTCAAGAGAGAATGCTTCTGAAACATGGCCATACAGCCTGGGAACAACCCTACCTAAACAATCCCCTGTATTTCTCTTTGAACACACTCATCTTCAGAAGTCCTTGAAATCTTTCCCTCTGTTTGGACTTTTCTGAACTATTTACTCAATCTCCCCCACACAAATATATAGGAAGGAGAGATGGTAAGGGAAAGCAGAGTACAGTGGACCCATTTGGTATCTGCTGGGGTTTGGTTCGTAAAAACATCATCTGTTAGTGCTGAAATCCCATTATATTATATGCCTTATATAAAATGTCAAAAATCAAGACCTGATTTTGGATTTTGAAAAAAAAAGTTATTTTGAGTAGCTGAATCCATGGATACAGGATCCATAAATAAATATAAAGTGCTTAGTGCCATTTTGAAAACAAACCCCTGAAGCACATAAAGTAGTTTTTGATGGATTTAGCTCCTGAACTCAAAGCATTGGTGTCTGACTGGAGCCACTAAAGGTGTGTCTACACCAAACATGGGCAAACTTAGGCCCTCCAGGTGTTTTGGACTTCAACTCCCACCCTTCCTACCAGCTTACCGGTTGTTAGGAATGGTGGGAGTTGAAGTCCAAAACACCTGGAGGGCCCAAGTTTGCCCATGCCTGGTCTACACTGTGGAATGAACGCAGTTTGACACCTCTTTAACTGCCAAGGCTCCAGCCTGTGGAGGTCTTGACAAGGTCTTCAACTTTCCTAAAGCAGAGAAGGTGGGTGCCTCCCCAAAGTCCAATCCTTAAGGCTTTTATACCCCGGAGCCATGATGGCAGTGAAAGCGGTGTCAAAACCGAATTAATTCCACAGTGAGGTTTTCACGCAGGAAGGGGCCCCTCCTTTTGGGATCGCGGGGTTGTAAAGAGGACCAGGCGCAAGGATTTCCACTCGCCTCTCCAAGTCGGCGGGGAAGAGGGCAAGGGGCATCTGAGGTGAGAAAAGAAGGGAAATCATGCGCGTCTCCTCGTGGGAGTAGAAATAAACAGGTGAGTCTATTAGGCATTCCCCCCGGCCGCCTGAGAGAGAGGAGAGGAGAGGAGAGGAGAGGAGAGAGCCACTCGTGGCCCAAGAGCCCCCTTCCCTTCGCTTCGCTTCGCTCCCCGCCCCTCTCGGCCCCGAGACACGAGCCTTACCCCGGTAACTGTTTCCGGGCTTGTAGAAGTCCGGGTCTCCCTCCACGCGGAGGCTGAACTCGTTGTAGCCCTCCCGCCGGGTGCCCTGGGCGCGCAGGATGCGGCTGCAGTAGCCCTCGGACTTGGCGGCGCGCTCGAAGGAGGTCTCGTCGCCGAAGGAAGCGGCCCAGGCCAGCGCCGGGAAAGCCCAGCCCCAGCAGCACCACGCCAGCCGCGGCCAGGCGCGCCCCGAAGGCAGCGGACCCGTCCTCATCCTCCTCCGCCGCCGCCGCCGCCGCCGCCGCCCTCACCCCCCACCCCGCCGGCGCAACAACTTGGAGGGGGGCGCGCGTGGGGTCCTCCTGGAGCCCCGAAAGAGAGAGAGAGAGAGAGCGGGGGAGAGGGCTCTGCCTCTGCGGGAGGCGGCTTCGGGGAGGGCGCGAGCCCTGGGCTCAGGGGGGACGGAGCGCGAGGCACCAAGCGCCCCTCCGCCTGGTCTTCGTGCTCAGAAAGCGAGGCAAACTAAGCAGCGCAGCCCTTTAATCACTTGGAAAGGGTTGGCTTCCCCCCTCCGCTGCTCAGCCGGAGCCGAGGGTTGTGAAACTGAAAGAGAGCGGGAGGGAGGAAGCCGAGGGAGGGAGGGAGGAGTAGAAACGGGGAGAAGAGACCGAGGCTGGTGTCAGGGAGAAGGAGGAGGAAGAGGAGGAGGAGTGGGGGCCGGAGGTCGGCAGGGCCAGGTTTAGGCTGAGGAGGCTGGCTGGGGTTCAATGCAGGCGGGTCGGTGGCCTCCGAGGCGGTGCGTGTTTTGGGCGGGTGAGGCGGCGCTTCCCCCTCCGCGGCTCCGAAGGGAATGCCGAGGGCTGTGGGGAACTCTGCGTGGAGAAAGAGGGCCGGGCGAGTGGTGAGTGGAGCGCAAGCCCTCTGCTGGGCAATAGAGGAGGAAGACAAGCACTGCCACGCGCGGGCTCCTTCTTCCCGCCCCCGCCAGGCGCCCCACTTCCACACAGCAGACACAGTCCTTCTCACGCTGTGAGACCCCACCTTCCACGCCCTCCTTCCCATTGCTGTCACGCCCGCCTCCTTGCACAGGCATCCCCTTTCTAGCACTGCGTGGCACACCACTTTCTCGCACACGCCCCTTCCAACTGCTGTGGGGCACCCTACTTTCCATGCCCTCCTCCCCACCGGTGTCACGCCCCACCTTCTTGCACAGGTGTCTCTTTCTATCACTGCGTGGCACCCCACTTCCACGCTCTTCTTCCCACCGGTGTCACGCCCCACCTCCTTGCACAAGCATCCCATTCTAGCACTGCGTGGCACCCCACTTTCTCGCACATGTTCTTCCCACTGCTGTGGGGCACCCCACTTTCCACGCCCTCCTTCCCATTGCTGTCATGCTCCGCCTCCTTGCACAGGCATCCCTCTTCAAACACTGCGTGGCACCCCACATTCTTGCATACGTCCCTTCCTACTGCTGTGGGGCACCCCACTTTCCACTCCCTCCTTCCCACTAGTGCCATGCCTCACCTTGCACAAGCATCCCTTCAACCCTTTCTAGCACTGCGTGGCACCCCATGTTGTCGGGTACGTCTTTCCACTGCTGTGGGGCACCCCACTTCCAGGCCTTTCTTCCTACCGGTGTCACGCCCCACCTCCTTGCACGGGCATCACTTTCTAGCACTGCGTGGCACCCCACTTTCTCATACACGCCCCTTCCCACTGCTGTGGGGCACCCCACTTCCACGCCCTTCTTCCCACCCGTGTCACGCCCCACATCCTTGCACAGACACCCCACTTTCTTGCACCCAATTGCGTGGAGCCCCGTTTTCTCGCACACGCCCCTTCCCACTGCAGTGGGGCACTCCGTTTCCACGCCCTCCTTCGCCCCGGTGTCACGCCCCACTTCCTTTCCACCGCTGAGAGGCACCCCACGTCCACGCACACGCCCCCTTCCCACTGGAGCGAGGCGCCCACCTCCAGCACAAGCACTCCCCCCCCCTTCCCAGTGTTGTGAAACTTCCCCCCGTCGCGTCTCTTCTCAGGCTCAAGACCCCGAGTGGAGTTTCCGAAGAGCCGGCTTGAGAGAGGCTCTGCGGGGGGGGGGGGGAGAGAGAGAGAGCAGTAGCAGCAACACCGTCGCCCGGAGGCCTTGCCGGTTTCCTCGCAAGCCGGCCCCACGGCGCCATGCACGGGGTTGTTGTTATTCGGGAACGCGGCGTGCGTGACAGAGTAGGGTTGCGTAATTTTCCCTTGAATCCTTTCACAGGGACCCGAATGTCTCGGGAGCGTGGCCGAAAGGAATGACTTCTTCCGTGAGTTCTGGGGGGGGGGGGGTTATATAAACCCAGAGGCAAAAATATTTGCACCTTTAAATTGAGTGTGATAAGAGCAACAATCTTCACACAGGCACACGCGCACACATTTACCAAAGTTCAGACACTAGTGAAAGACTGGCTCAGAAAAAAATTCAATCTAACCCTCTAACCTTTATAATCTAAATAAAAATACAGGAATGATGGACGTTGCAAGGAATTTAGTCCTCCCAAAGAAATATAAAGAAAATACTACTACATCATTCAAAGCGGGCAAGATGTAATTCTTGCCCGCTATTTTCTTGGGTTCCCTCTTTAAAACACACACACACACACACACACTGAAGCCACTAAAGCTGTTCCTTAAAGTATTCCCACATACTGGGACAAACTGATAACTGCAAGATCTCACAGGATTCAAGGTTGCCACTCAGCCGCATTGTTCTGTGTGGCTTCAAAAGGTCTGTGAGCAGCAGAGCAGAGGGTGGGAAGTGACTGCGTGGGAATAAGAGAAAGGGAAGCTCATTATTGTTTAGCCAGACATCTGCAGTTTTATTTGCCTAACCATGTGAAGAGGGGAGACCTGAGACTGCAGCACGGGTGCAATCACTCATCTAGGATCTGTATGTGTGACAGATCAGTTGGCCCCGTGTTTGATGGCCCTTGGGTTCTCTTCCAACTCTTATCATTTTATGATTCCAAAAAGCTATCTATTTTCCAGTTAGGGAAGCAAGGGGCTAGCCTCCAGATTTTGAACCATGTTGACCAAATACATAACCCAGCCACCAAATTCCTACCACTCTAATAATAATAATAATAATAATAATAATAATAATAATAATAATAATGGGAAATGAACATGCAAAAATACTGTGAGACTTTGGAATCCAGACTGACAAAGTTTTGGAACACAATACACCAGACATTACGATTGTGGAAAAGAAAAAAGTTTGGATTATTGATGTCGCCATGCCAGGTGACAGTTAAATTGACAAAAAACAACAGGAAAAACTCGGCCATTATCAGGACCTCAAAATCAAACTGCAAAGGCTCTGGCATTAACCAGTACAGGTGGTCCCAGCAGTCATCAGCACACTGGGTGCTGTGCCAAAAGAACTCGGCCGGCTTTTGGAAACAATAAACATTGACAAAATCTCGATCTACCAACTGCAAAAAGCCACCTTACTTGAATCCGCGCACATCATTCGAAAATGTATCACACAGTCCTAGACGCTTGGAAAGTGTTCAACTTTTGATTTTGTGATACAAAATCCAGCATATATATCTCGTTTGCTGTGACATACCGGTTTTTTTTATCAGTAAAATAATATAATTTAAAAAACCTTTATTTATAGACCACCGTCTCTCCCTGGGGGGACTCAGGGCAGTTTACACACACACACACACACACACACACAGGCTCATATTCCCAAACATGTTAGTGTGTATGACTTATCCAATAGTTGCTCAGATTGAGATACCCCTCACTGAGTCCTCCTGAGTCCCTGTGGTGGCCCTGCATTCCCTAAAATATGCTGGTCTATCCTGTTGCTAGCCAAGTCAGAACTAAAAGGGGAGGACCATGTTGTTTTCCCTGGGCAATGAAATGTTTTTGGCTGAGTCACCAAAAAACAACAACATTTTACCTGCATTCTTTTAATGCACGCATGGGTGAAGTGGGGATTTAAAGATATTAGACTGTGAGATAATGCAAGCTGGTTGATCTCATAGCTTTTTGATCTCATAGTCACCAACCAGCTGACCATACAAAGCTGAGTCAAATATGACTACTACAGAAGCAGTCTTTCAAATAATATACAGAGTTCTCTATTACCTAGTATAAAGATATACTGTCATTGTCATTCCTAGTAGTCGGACAATATTTTCATTATGACGAGTAGCCATTGATGGAGGCATCCTGTTTGAATTTGCCTAATTCTTTTGTCCACATCCATGTCCATTTCTTGGACTGCCTGTTGTCTTTAGTATTGCAGGATTTCTTGGAGGCTACTAGGAAGAATCCTTGAAAGCTAACAATGTTGCAAACATCTTTTAGTGGTTTTGGTATAATGTAGTGTGGTTAGGCAATCTAACTGCTACTCCCAATTTATATATAGACCCATTTAATTTGCAGGATTTACATAACTATTGTTTAACCACTCATCACGTGATCCACAGAAGTTGATTGTATTAATCTTTTCTGGTTGGATCTGGCAACCAAGGAATTGTTCTCTTTGCATTGTTTCAGTACATGCTTCAATATATGTGTACATGTAGTACAGTAAACCACCAATGACTGAGCAAATAACCAAAAACCCATATTTCAGATATAGAGAATGAACACAGTATAGAAATGGAAAGCAAATAATGATCGCTATGATACTTCATCTTGTTGATGGGAAGCTTCCCGCCGGAGTGGAAATCATCTATCGGACAGATGGCAAGCTATTTAACCTCAGCAGACTGAAAGCCAAAACCAAGGTTACAACAACATCTATTACAGAACTCCAGTATGCTGATGACAATGTTGTCTCTGCGCATTCAGAAGCAGACCGACTCTAAACACCTTCACAGAAGCATACGAGCAGCTCGGCTTGTCATTAAACATCGGTAAAACCAAAGTGCTCTTCCAGCAGTCACCAGCCAGTCCCTCTCCAATGCCAGAAATACAGCTTAATGGTGTAACATTAGAAAATGTTGACAATTTCTGCTACCTTGGCAGCCACCTCTCCACAAAAGTCAACATTGACACTGAAATTCAACACCGCCTGAGCTCTGCGAGTGCAGCATTGTTCCAAATGAAGCAGAGAGTGTTTGAGACTTCTCCCGCAGTGAGGGCATTGGTTTCCAGGTGGAAGGCGGTCCCGGTCGGGGTTGGCTTGACATGCCTTCCTCTTGGCACGTTTCTCTCTTTCACACTCCATTCGTGCCTCTTCAAATTCTACAGCACTCAAGAATAATGCAGATCAAGAATAGGGCTCCTCAGTCATCTACGGACCCACCGCCAGAACACCGACCTTGAAGGACCATCATCCTCGGACTACGAGGGATCACCTAAGTATGTAAGTAAGTACATGTAGTACAGTAAACCACCAATGACTGAGCAAATAACTAAAAACCCATATGTCAGATATAGAGAATGAACACAGAATAGAAATGGAAAGCAAATAATAATAATTTTCAAGCATATCATTTTCCTGCCTATCAAAACAAATAATGTTTCAGTGCAATATAATGGTTTGAGCAAAACAGACAAAGCTTAACTTTTTGAATTACATTTTCTAAAATGTGGGATTCTGAGTTGTAATCCAAACCCTATCCCCAAATATTCCAATCTCCGTCTTTGAACACCACACGGGGCTATTGCATGAATGGAGAGAGTTGCCTTAACTAAGGTGCTCATACTACTTTGCATTCACTATCACTCACAGAGCAGCCATGGAATAGTGGCTTTGTGAGATCGACAACCCATCAGTAGCCTTCTTTATCTTTAAGAGTTACATAAAAGGAAAAATTTCAGCATGCCTACATTTTCCCATCAGAACGAAAATATTGGAGAACATGAACCTGTGGAATGGCCCATTCTGTGCTATTTTCAATAGTATAGATGCTACCTCGGAGTCTGGTCGCAGCTTTCTTGGAATAGGATTTTATTGAGACAGAACAGAGACAGGTCAGACCTGTTGTTGAAACTGAGTAATGGACTTTAGGAGTTAAAATGCACAATGATTGAGCACAGTCATGGTAAGTTTTCCAAAGCACCAAGGGGTTCACCTGACAGATAAAGAAAAAGATTTATTTAAAAGGTTAGTGAGGTGAACTTTCTTAATTCTGTCCCTTTTGGACAAGATGAAGAATACGCAGGAAATGAACAAGGGAGTGACTAGAAGGGATGCTATGGCTGGATGTTCAGTGGTATTCTTAATATTTATTTTTGGATAATGTAAATTTAGCCAACTTACTTTTTCCTTCCAATGGAAACAATGAAGAAACCAGCGCCTTTTGTTTCTTTGTTTTGGGGCAACTTAAAAAAAAGCAAAATATTCTCAAAATCTGTCCCATTGCAACCAGTTTTTTTCCACTGTGCACTCTAACTGCTATGGTATCATCCTATAAGATCCTGGAATGGCCAGTTTAGGGAGCCATATTTAGAATTCTCAACCAGACAATTCTGGTGCTTCAGCAAACAACAAACCCAGAAATTTGATTGTGTGTTCCTGCATGGCAGGAGCTTGGAAAGAATGGCCCTTGTAATCTCTTCCAATTCTAAGCTTCTATGTTTCTATGTCTGTAGGATACTCCCGTGCAAGGCAGACTCATAGCATTTTAATTGTGTGGTGTGAAAATAGCTAAGGTTCCACCAGAATACCCTAAAACATATCTCAAATACATCAAATTTCACACTGTTTTGAAAGCAAGGTAAGACTAGCATTATCGAATTTAGAGAACATCAGGTAGGTTGACGAAAGAGCCCTGCAGGTAGCTAGGAAATCTGGTATTATTTCACACCTTATCATCATGAAAGATGTGTTTCTGTGTGTGTGTGTGTGTTTGTTTTTTTAAAAAACTTTTTTTTTGCACCATAGTCTATAGCAGATAGGAACAGTGGTATATGTTGTTGTTGTTCATTCGTTCAGTCGTCTCCGACTCTTCGTGACCTCATGGACCAGCCCACGCCAGAGCTCCCTGTCGGCCGTTACCACCCCCAGCTCCCTCAAGGTCAGTCCAGTCACTTCAAGGATGCCATCCATCCATCTTGCCCTTGGTCGGCCCCTCTTCCTTTTGCCTTCCACTTTCCCCAGCATAATTGTCTTCTCTAGGCTTTCCTGTCTCCTCATGATGTTGCCAAAGTACTTCAACTTTGTCTCTAGTATCTTTCCCTCCAGTGAGCAGTCGAGCAGCGAGCAGTGGTATATCCAACACCTTAAAAGGGTAAAAGTTTCCCCTTGACATTAAGTCTAGTTTATTTATTTATTTGATACACTTGTATACCGCTAATATCTCAGCCTAGAACGGCGACTCATTGCGGTTTACAGCAGTTAAAACAATCTACAATTTAAAAACATATACACATATAATAACAAATTCAATAACAAATTATTGGGCCACCAATAATAATCCCATATATCTCGAGTTGAAATCGCAATCCAGAATTCGTTGTCCATGTTTCCTGTCCTTAGTCATCAATATTCGAATTGCCACAGATTAGCCGAATGCTTGTTTGAACAGCCATGTTTTGAGTCTCTTCCTAAACACCATCAGCGAAGAGGCTGATCGTACCTCTATAGGGAGGGTGTTCCAAAGCCGGGGGGCCACCACAGAGAAGGCCCTATCTCTCGTTCCCGCCAGCCGCACTTCTGAAGCTGGAGGGATAGAGAGAAGGGACTCTCCGGAAGATCTTAGGGTCCTGGTGGGCTGATAGGCTGAGATACGTTCGGATAGATAAGTTGGGCCAGAACCGTTTAGGGCTTTAAAGGCCAATGCCAGCACTTTGAATTGAGCCCGGTAGCATATCGGCAGCCAGTGGAGCTGGTTCAGCAAGGGAGTTGTATGCTCCCTGCACCCCGCTCCTGTTAGAATCATGGCTGCCGCCCGTTGGACTAACTGGAGCTTCCGGACTGTCTTCAAAGGCAACCCCACGTAGAGAGCGTTGCAGTAATCAAGGCGGGATGTAACCAGAGCGTGGACTACCGTAGCTAAGTCAGACTTCCCAAGGTACGGTCGCAGTTGGCGCACAAGTTTTAACTGTGCGAAGGCTCCCCTGGTCACCGCCGAAACCTGGGGTTCCAGGCTCAGCGATGAATCCAGGATCACCCCCAAACTGCGAACCTGTGTCTTCAGGGGGAGTGCGACCCCGTCTAACACAGGCTGTAAACCTATACCCTGTTCGGCCTTACGACTAACCAGGAGTACCTCTGTCTTGTCTGGATTCAATTTCAATTTGTTCGCCCCCATCCAGACCGTCACAGCGGCCAAGCACCGGTTCAGGACCTCGACAGCCTCCTTAGTAGCAGGTGGAAAGGAGTGACAGAGTTGGACATCATCTGCGTACAGATGACATCGCACTCCGAAACTCCGGATGATCTCGCCCAGCGGCTTCATGTAGATGTTAAACAACATGGGAGACAGTATTGAACCCTGAGGAACCCCACAAGACAAAGGTTGTGGGGTTGAACAGGAGTCTCCCAATAACACCATCTGAGACCGACCCTCGAGGAATGAGCGGAGCCACTGCAAAACAGTAGTTGATTCCAACTCTGGGGGTGGTGCTCATCTCCATTTCTAAGCTGAAGAGCCAGTGTTGTCCATAGACGCCTCCTAGGTCATGTGGCCGGCATGACTGCATGGAGTGCTGTTACCTTCCAGCGGAAGCAGTACCCATTGATCTACTCACATTTGCATGTTTTTGAACTGCTAGGTTGGCAGAAGCTGAGGCTAACAGTGGGAGCTCACCCTGTCCCACAGATTTGAACCACCAACCATCCGTCAGCAAGTTCTGCAGCTTAGCAGTTTAACTCGCTGTGCCACCATGGCCTCTATATCCAACACCTAAGGGACTGTTTTAAAGACCAGATGCCTGACTGTCAAGCTTAGGCAGGGAAAGAACATTCAAAAATATTTTCCTCAAATGACGGAAAGATGTATTTTTTCAAATGTCATGAAATATTAATTACAAAATTTTTGACTGCACAATATTCAAATGTGGTTGTTCCATGTGGAAAACACTTTCTGCACAAGAAAGGTATTTTCTATGATGAAAATATTTCCCTCAGAAATATTTCCTACATAGAAAAATCTGTACTGAGAACTCGTTTTGCAGAAAAGTTGCATGCAGGTTATTTGCACAGAGAATGGCATTTTCCATATACTTCTACATACAAATATTACTTTCTGTATAGAAAATGCTGGTTCCAACCATGTACAAATTTTGCATAGAATGAATCAGTCTTCAAAAATGGTGTGATTTTTTCAGGGGGAAGAATGCTAAAATTACCAATTGCTTCTTTTGAGAAGAAAGAGAAGAATTATATCCCTAGTCAAGGTCAAGCCATTATAAATCATCTGCCAGCAGAGGAGAATCTTTGTTGGAGAGAACTGATTGACAACCTTGCAAGTGTATGGCTTTCTTGAATTCCTGACCCCCTTTGACCATCTATAAAGGTATACAATGTTTCTCTCCATTTTCTTGACTTTGTTCTTCTTCTCTGTCAGCAACTTTGGAGCTTTACTGCACCTCTCCTAATTCTCCAGTGACTCGCTTGGCATTTGCTGCTCTAAGCACAAGGCACAGTCTGTCCAGTATCAAAAAACTGCTCAAAAGTTTCTGCAGAGTGTGCCTTTAATTAATGGTTTCTCTTGTGTCCTTTTTCTTTTGATGTGGCTTCTGTTTACAAATTGTCCCTGGCCAATCATGTAGTTTTTGCAGTCCTAAACTGGCCTTTAATGAGCGAGTTTCTGTTCTCTGAGAAGTAGTGGAAGTTGGTTTCTTCTCTGCCAGAGGGGTAGTGAATTTGGTCCAGGTTTTATCCTAAATTAAAAAGGAGTTATTCACAATGCTGGTGCTGCTTTCTGGATAGGATTCAGAACTTTGTATCGCTAATTTAACTTTTTGTCTCAAGCCTAGAGCAGATTCACTGCTCCACATACTAGGAAGTCATTGGCCAACAGTATCAGGAAAACTTTAGTCATGTTTTTCTTTTCCTGCACTCATTATCACTTTCCTTTACTTTCTTTTGATTATGGGCTGGCATTCTGGTAGTGATTTACTTGGGGTGGGAAGTTATTGTAGAGATCGGAGTTCTTTATTTTTCTGACTCACACACACCCTTTCTGGATTGTCAACTTGTCATGGTGAGGGGCTTGTGTGTTGCAGTGAACCTGTGAGCAAAACCCTTGGAAGCCATATACTCCCAGCAGGGCCACCCATGGTGGCACGGTCACAGGGAAGGAAACAGACCAAGCACAATCCAAAGACCTTCATGGCAGAGCAGGTGAATCATAACACTGTACATTGCTGTAACAGCAGATGAAGATGGCAACAGATAACAGACCATGGGTCATTGTATAAATATGTGAAAGGAAGCCACAGGGAGGAGGGAGCAAACTTGTTTTCTGCTTCCCTGGAGACTAGGACACGAAACAATGGCTTCAAACTACAAGACAGGAGATTCCATCTGAACATGAGGAAGAACTTCCTGACTGTGAGAGCCGTTCAATGGTGAAACTCTCTGCCCCGGAGTGTGGTGGAGGCTCTTTCTTTGGAAGCTTTTAAACAGAGACTGGATTGCCATCTGTCAGGGGTGATTTGAATGCAATATTCCTGCTCCTTGGCAGGGGGTTGGACTGGATGGCCCATGAGGTCTCTTCCAACTCTTTGAGTCTATGATTCTATGATTGTGTTAACCATGCAATTGGATCAAAACCTCTACCTGTGAAGACTGTGTGTTGGTAGCTGTGCACCAATATTTTGCACATAAAACAAATTTGTGCACAGGCACCTTCCAAGAAAAATAAACCCAATAAAAATGCAATGACAATTTCTGAGTGGAAACTGTGAAATTGGGAAGCACCTAGCTACAGACTGTCACACAGGTGATGGATATGGATTCAGTCTTTCTAACACAAAGGCTGAGGCAGTTGAGCAGTTAGGCAGCTGTATTCATGACTGAGAGGTCCTTTTTAAGATCCACTCTGCTAACTCAGTACAGAGAGGGGGGCTAAAAAGGTAAGCTGAATATAGTCTGCCTCTTTACTTATCCCTGACTAGAATGCTGCATCCAGGGGGGTCATCACATTGTGGTCAAAAAAGACATGAATTTTGGAACGTGGAACATACTGACACTGTTGGATAATACAGACAATGAATGTCCAGAACATAAGACTGCTATTATTGCAAGGGATGTGAGGCACTTTAACATTGATATAGCAGCACTCCAAGAGAGCAAGAGAAAGACAGCTGAAGGGGGGAAAAGGGGCTACATCTTTTTTTGGAAGGAAGTGCCTGAACAAGAAAACGAATGCATGGAATTGGCCTTGCTATCAAAAACAACCTGGTGAAGCATCTTTCTGAAGCACCCGCTGGCATTAACAAATTACTCTCATCCCTCCAAATTAATCTTGCCAAAAACCTGCAGGCAACTATCATAAGCGCCTAAGCACAAACACTAGATGCTGATGAAGACAACAAGGAAAAATTATACTGTCTGCTGGACACAATGCTATCTAAGATATCTAAGGATGACAAAAACATCCTCCTGGGTGATTTTAATTCAAGAGTTGGACAAGATTTCGACCAGTGGCCAGGAACTATAGGGAAAGGTGGGCTCAGAAACAGCAACTTGACTGGCATCCTACTCCTAACCAAACGTTTGTTGTTGTTGTTCATTCATTCAGTCATGCATGCACTTCCACCAGAAAAACAAGTTTAAGATATCTTGGGAGCGTACCTGCTCAAAAAACTGGCATCTCTTAGACTGTATATTTATACATGCCAAATTCTGCTGTGATGTACTTCTCACAAAAGCCATGACAAGTGCTGATGACTGACAGATTACCAATTAATTTGATCCATGATGGCCATCAAGATTGTTCCCACATGTAGATTCCAAGAAATAAAGATAAGAAATAAAATGAATTCTTGAGCCTTTCAAGAGTCTTCTAAATGAGCCCTTTTCCAAACAACACTAAGGTTCATCTAGCTGTGGAACACCCAGAAAGTGTTGAGGAACACTGGAATTAACGGAAGACCTTATCATTACAGCCTGTGAACTAACATTGCATACCAAACTAAGAAACATCAAGACTGATTTGATGAAAATGATAATGAGATCCAACAAATAATTGATAAGCAAAGGAAAACCTTCCAAATATGGCAAAGAGGCATTAATTGTGCTGCTAAGAAAAAGATACATGCTAGTGCAAAAGTTGAGGTCCAACAAAAGACCAGAGCATTTAAAAACATCTAGTGGACAAAAAGGCTCAAGAAATCCAACACTTCACAGATGTCCATGGGGCACGGGGGCTGGGAAAATCCTTGCAAACCGCCTTCTACCTATCTGAGAAGACAACCTCCCTGAATACCAGAATGCCTTCTACCTTTCCAGAAAAACAGTGGATATGAATTTCACTGCAGGACAGCTCCAAGAAATATGCTGCGAACAAAATCAAACGTCTTCACAACTATGATTCTGCACCTTCTTGATGGGAAGCTTCCCAATTCCTCATTCAGAGAAAGACCTACAAGTAATTTTAAACACCTTTGCAGAAGCATGTGAAAAACCTGACCTCTCACTAAACAGTGAGACAACAAAAAGTCTTTACTAGCAGGCACCAACCAACCTCTCTGCAATGCCAGAAATAAAGCTTAATGATATAACACTAGAAAATGTTGACCATTACCACTACCTAGCCAGCCACCTCTCCACAAAAGTTGACATTGATACTGAAATACAACACCATCTGAGCAGCAGTTTTTCAAATAAATCATAGAATGTTCAAAGATTGGAACATTTGCAAGGGCACCAAAATCCTTGCTTATAAAAAGCTATTGTCCTCCCAACTCTATTGTACACCTGGAACATATACAAATGTTGCTCTCAGTTTCTGGAAAGATTCCATCAGCATTTCCTCCAAATAAAAATCCTGCAGATCACTTGGAAAGAAAGATGGACAAACATCAGCATTCTGGAAGAAACCAGCATTGAAGCAATGATCCTCCACCATCAACTTCGCTGGACTGGTCATGTTGTTTTCTTACCTACCTCTTTTCTCTTTCTTCTCTTCCTTCCCTCTCTGTTTCCTACCTACCTTTTTTCTCTTTCATCTCTTCCTTCCCTCTCTGTTTCCTACCTACCTGTGATGGCGCGAGTGGCGCCACCTATATGTAGAACTTTAATTTGCAAGGGTTTAAACTGTATAACATGCCCATACTTGCTTATTTTGTAAATGTATAGTTGGATTGATTGGTTATTTATAGTTGTCAATCAATGTTGTTTGCACCAGTTATATTGCTTCCTCAGCTCAATTGCTTGGCTCCACCTCTTCCTGGAGGAGGGCAGAGCTTTTCCTTTTCCATTCAACTATCAAACTTTCTCTCAGATAGACGTGAGAAAGAGACTTGGCTCTAAAGCCCTTAATTAAATTACCTCCACCAATTCTAAGGCTTTTACCCTTGGGACTCATACTTCATGTCCAGATCACCCTGGACAATGTTGAGGAGATCCAAGCACCTTCAAACCGGTCCTGTGGCACCAGAGGAAGGCTTCGTGTCTTCAAATATAGGCCATTTGGATTGGGGCTGTGAATGTTCAGGCATTTGCAGCCATTGAGAAAGAGGGAACCCTGAAAAGCTTCTCAGCTGTGAAATCTCCTTGGACCCAAGACAACCAGAGACTGTAATGTATATTTCCTTTACCCCTTTGAAACTTCCAGCTTATTGCCTTAAAGGGATAACTCTTTGTGAACAATAAAGGCAAGAAGCAATCCCCTGGGGGAAAGATGTCACATCTATGTCTCTTTCACTAAGAGTTATAGCCCCCAGGTGCAATGGCATACTACCTTTTTTCTTCCTTTTCCCCTTCCTTCTCTTTTTCCTACTTTTCTAATGCCAAAATAGCTGGAGGGCCAAAGCTAAGCAGGCCTGGTTTAAAGTTTACAGCGGGCACAGAGTAAATGACCTTGGGGGACCAGATCCAGCCCATGGACCCTAGTTTGGGGACCCCTAATTTAGAAAGCCATGACCTATTTCATTCTGTATTATTTCTGTTAGATAATTTTGAAAATGTGTGAAGCTATCCCAGGGCAGCTGTTAAAACTTTGAACTGTATTAATACCTAACTGTTCTAATTCTTATTCTTAAATCCATGCAGTCTTCCAACTAGGATGGCATCTGAACAAAAGACTCAGCACTGATCACTCAACCTTCCGTACTCACATAAGGAATGGTGAAAACCGGTATTTCTCTCCTTTGTGCAATAGCAGAAGCTTGAATTTTATGATATGGGTGTGATCTCAAAGCAAAATATCCATATATATATATTTGTTATAGATTTTTACCTACTCATCACGCAATCACATCAACCCCTTGATCATAATGTAATGTGAATGGATAGGATATGGTGTAATATTTGAGTATCTCCAGGAGATCAACATTCAACTCCTTTCATGACCAAGGAAACCCACTATCTCGGTGGTTCTCAACCTGTGGGTCCTGAAGTGTTTTGGCCTACAACTCGCAGGCAGTTTACCAGCTGGGTTGTTGTAGTTTTTTCGGGCTATATGGCCATGGTCTAGAGGCATTTTCTCCTGATGTTTTGCCTGCATCTATGGCAAGCATCCTCAGAGGTAGTGAGGTCTGTTGGAACTAGGAAAAAGGGTTTATATATCTGTGGAATGACCAGGGTGGGACAAAGGACTCTTGTCTGCTGGAGCTAGGTGTGAATGTTTCAACTGACCACCTTGATTAGCATATAATGGCCTGACAGTGCCTCGAGCAAACTTTTGTTGAGAGGTGATTGAGAGGATAACTTGAAGTTTTGGGTTAAAATGTTTCAGGGAATGTCAATTATGCAGATTCATCTTAATTCCCTTCACTATAAGTCTCACCAAATTCAGTTTGATGTAGCTCTGAATCACACTACACAATGGCAGCAGTTTGACTGCTATGGTGCCATCTTATGGAATCCTTGGATGTACAGTTTCATGTGATATATAGAATTCTGTGCTAGTGATCTGTAGCACTTCACCAAACTACATGGAAGATTGGGCCTTGTTGCATTTGTTTGCTTTGCTTCTTTGCATTGCTCTAACCTGTTCCTTTCTATGTTCTCGTCATGCTCCTCTATTTGTTTAAAAGTTGAACTGCCAGAAATATTCCTGGATAGGCACAGCATAGTATATCTTGTCAGAAGTGCATGCTTTAACTTAGCGATTGATACAAATAAATTAACTTGCATTGCCTGCAGCCATGAAATGAGTAATTTCTGTAGTAGAGACATTACAGAATACCAGCGATGTCATTAACCATGGGCGTCCTTAGGGTTTTGTATTTGTTCTATCAATTAGAGTCTGTTTGCCTAAAATGTCTGGTGTGATGCATCAGACTAAGACACTTGCAAGCTGATGAATTTACCATGGATGACTGCATTTAACAAGGAAATTATGGCATCTTTCAGCCTGTGGCATTGTCTTCTTCTTGTCCATCTCTCATGAGGCACCATGTGTCACTGCTGCCCATCATGGCAATAATAAATAATGGGGGTGGGAAACTATGGCCCTGATGCCAAATGTAGCTCTCAAAGCTGATTTGGAAACCCTTAGTCCCCCCCCCCCCCCCCCCCCACCAAGATGCCCTGGGCCACCCAAAGACTGTAGAAATGGGGGTAGGGCATTGCCCACAATCCAAACAAAAATTGTAACCCCTCCAGATGAAAAGCTTCTTTAGTTCCTGAATTTCTAGCATTGAGGCTGAGTATTTTGAAATATAGTTTAAGCATCTAAAGGAAATGATACAGTAGAATCTTGCAAAACCCCTTCGTCGTTAACATTTCTCAGACTTATTAAAACAGTGTACCTGTACATGGAACCTTTTACCAGAACATATACTTTTCATGTGGCAGGGCTCACCTTTGATGCATTGACAGCTGTGAAAATTCATTCTCAGTTCTCACACATGTGCTGACACTACAGAGGCGTTCGGTGTTTTGTCAGAGAAGAGCAAATTTAGTATTTGTGGTTTTTGAAAGTAACATACAGTATGTTCCTTTGCATCTACAAGGGGATACATTCCTTGACTTTGTGAAGATATGCAAAACAAGTTTTCATCTGTGATATGCTGGAGAATTTCTTTAAATGCATCTACACTGTAGAATTTGCCCTAGGCAGTTCGAATCCAGGCTATTTGGCTGACCGCATTGCCTTGTACAGGCCTTGAGAACTTCAGGTGAGGTCCTTCCCTCAGTCCCAACTTCATCACAGGCACGGTTGGTGGAAATAAGAAAGAGCCTTCTCGGTGGATGGCCAGGGAAGCCAGAATGGCCCCCTCCCTGCTGTCCTTCTGGAAGCAGGCTAAATTCTTTTTATTCAGACAGGCTTTTAAAGATGAAAGTTTTAAAGATCAATTCAGGGATGCTGTGGTTTTCAACTTTGAATTTGTTTTAATGTTTTTAACTGGGATTTTTAAAATACTGTTTATATTTAATCTTGTTTTAATGTTTGCATATTTGTATATTTTAACTGGTTATGCAGATTTTTTTTATTTTAAGCTGCTTTGAGTCCCCTTTGGGGGAGATAAAGCAGGGTATTCTTAACAACAACAACAACAACAACAACAACAATCCAGCATATAGATCTAGTTTGCTGTGACATACTGTGCTTTTGTGTCAGTATAATAATAATACATTAATTCAGTTTGACACCACTTTAAATGCTATGGCTCAATGTTCTGAAATCATGGAAATTGTAGTTTTTGAGGCACCAGCAGATTTTGGCAGAGAATGCTAAAGTCCTTGTAAAAATACAACAGTCATGATTTCATAGCATTGGGAAGTGTGCTAATTCTATAATGGAGATCAACAAAGAAATCACCATCAGAGATCAGTTCACATATTGTTTACTAGCTTGGTTAGAGAAATTGATGTGTGTATTTATACTAAATGGAGTTCGGTGCTACTTATAAAATGCATTTGATGGTCCAATGAATTTCTTATTTCCCAGTATAAGTGATTGTATTGTCTGGTATATATTTCTTCCTTGGCAAGAATTTGATTTGCCAATTCTTTATTTCAAAAGAAAATACTCCCTCACCCTGCCCCCTCTTGGTATCAAGAGAGGGGAAAATAACATTGTAAGCGCTGATGAAAGGGAGAAATGGCTGCTTCTTTTACTGCTCCTGCTCTTAAGCTTTTTATAGCAGTAGGGGCCTTTAAAAATTACATAAGTGAATCTTTTCCAAGCATTTTCCCTTCATGGCAGGAAAAGCTCCAGCTGCTACTCTTCTGAATGTGAAAGCATTTGTGGATTTTAGAAGCCACAGAAGTGGTTGAGTTCCATTATGTACTTGGCACACTTACAAACAATGAAAAGTCTTTCTCTCAGGAACTTGGAACCCCATGAAGTTTTGAATCATGCCTGTAGATTGCTAGCCTTAATAAATTGGTTCCAGGAAATACGAAAAGGAAACTGTGGCCCAACATTGCCAAACTTTATATTTCTTCTGATGCCTTTGGAAGGACAGTAGGAGAAAACTTAAAAAGTAGATGTTGCCAGTTGAAACCTCTGGGTTGTCCTTACTCAATCTCATATTCTAACGATAAAAATGCTTGCAGTGAAGTGGATGTGAGCTTGTAATGTGTATTATTGCACATTTCATTTGTAACGTAATGAAAACTGCTTCATGTCCTTGAAAGGCATGGAGGAATTAATAAATTGAGGTAGGAAAGGGAATTTCTTCATGGCAGCGAGAAGGAGAGACCTTTTGCAGGGAGAGAAAGAAGAGGAAGAAGAAGGAGCATAACTGCCCCAATCAATGTCCCTGGGTCTCAAAGGATGCCCTGGGGACTGGGAAGGTGTAGTTTGAGCGGGGAATAGGGGAAAAGAAGAACCAGAAAGAGAAAGAGCAGGGCCAAGCACCAGCATTATTACTATCATGGCCCCAAAACACCAGAGATCCGCTCCCTGCAGCACTCTCCATTCGACAGCAGAGAGGCTTTTCTAACTCATCCTGCTGTGGACAGCTGTCTGGCTCTGGTGGTTGTTGACATCACACTGTGGGGCTCTTGAGGTGCCGCTTTGTACTGAGGCTCCACTGGGTCACATGGTGGGCAGCGTTCATGGGACCATTGTTCTGCCTGGCTGCCTTCCACCATTGCCTTTGGGCGACTGCCCATGTCATTGCTGATGCACTACCATGTCCTGGGCCACCTGGCTGACCCTGGCACATGGCTGCACCATGCCATCTTTTGCTGCCAGGCTGTGGAGGATGGTGGAGCATTTCGGATGGCCTATACTGTGCCAATTCCCCCTTCTTGGGCTGGCTGGGCTGCTGCTGCCGATTGTCTCTGCTGGAGCAGATTGCCTTTGCTGATTGTCACTGCCAGCGCACCTGCTGTTCTCCACCGTCACCAGCACTTCAGGTTATTGCCTTCTGCCATTGTTGGGGGGTCACTCCCAATTCGGATCTCCTTTTGGTAAATTGGTGGTGGCCTTTCAATTGGCAACTGTGTTGGGCTGCTGCCTCAGTGTCAGCTGCTTGTTCCATCCTCAGTGCTGGCAGCACATACCATCCTGCTGTGCTGGCTGGGCTGCCACTGATGCTTGCCTCCAACGTTATGCCACCCTCTGACTTCACCAGGCAGCTGCGGCCGCACCATTGCCACTATTGCCATCTCAGTGGGTTTATCACCTTTACACAGCCACCCCAGTAGTGTGCCGCCTTCATCTGGGAGACCGCAATTCAATCTGGGAGATCATATTTCCAATCAGCAACCATCTACACTAGTGCTATCTGCGACCTTTTTACCAGCCCACTTTTTTACCAGACCTTGAGACTGCACTATTTGGGGCTGCTGGGTTACCACCCCCAAGCCAACTAGTCAGCTGCACAGCTCTACTATCACACTGACTTTCCAACTTGTGCAGCTGCTCTTGCAGTATTTTGCCTCCATCTGGGCTGAGGAGTTATCGGAGTTCTACCTAGGAGGTCACACATCCATTCAGCAACCACATACTGTTCTTGGCTGCTCATTAAGAACATTGGAGCTGGACCTGAACTGATTGTCTACCAGTGTCCTGCCATGGCTCTATACACCTTATTTCATCTTTATTTGGTGCCATATTTTATCTTTTATTTGGGGAATTTAGCCCATTTACATCATTTGAATATAATTTAATTCTCCATGTCATAATCTTCTCCTGTTTCTCCTTCACTCTCTGAATTCGTCATTGCAATGCCTGAATACATTGTGTAGTCTGGAATGCTGGAAAGAGGTTTTATTCGTTTTAGAATAACATCTTATAGACCGTAAGGGTGTGGGGGGTCGGCTGGGTGTGAAATCAGTGAGCTAATACTGACGCACTAGTATGTCATTTCACTACAATCTTAGTAAATTGACACCAGATCCATCAACCAGTGCCTTACAACTTCCTAAGAGGGATGGGCAACATCCCTAAGGGGGGGGAGCCCCCAGGGTTGTGGGCACCTATAGAAGTCTGGCAGGGTAGGAGAGGACATGGTAGGAGGAGATACCAACAATCAGGGGGTGCAAGAAAGTCCTTGTGGCTCTGGACAACCACAAATAGATTGGATAGTCAAAATGACAGCCCCCCAGGTTGAAAGTCCTATTGATGAATGCCAGGTCCATGAATGGGAAATCAGCAACCATCCAGGACTCCATCCTGGATGAGTGCACAGAACTGGCTTGCATAACCAAAACCTGTTTGGATGAATTGGGGGAGGGTTAACCTCTCCCAACTCTGTCCTCCAGGTTTCGGGGGCGAAGTGGCAAAGTCACAATAGTCTATCCCCTGATAGAATGGATCATGAGGATTACTAATGCCTCTTTGGAACAGGGTAAAATACCAACTTGCCTCAAAATGGCAGTTGTAATGGCAATTTTCACAAACCGTTCCTGGATCTCTTGATGCTAAACAACTTTCAGCCTATTTCTAATCTCCCCTTTCTGGGCAAGGTTCTGGAGTGGGTGGTCACTACACAACTCCAAGGATTCTTGGATGGAACCAATAATCTAGACCATCACAGTCTGGATTTATACCTGGCTACTGAACAGAGACAGATTTGGTCTCCTCGGTGGATGACCTCTGGACAGGAGGAGTGTGTCCCTGTTGATTCTCCTGGACCTCTCAGTGGCATTTAATACCATTCTTTTCAGTCGACTCTCCAGGATAGCCATCCCACATTCCCTGGGCTCTGACAGCCTGCGGAGGTGGGATGGCAATGTCTTCCTATCCTCTCTGCACCCAATTTCTCTCCTAAAACTATGGATAATCCTTTTTACCATTTCTGCTTCCCAAATCTGCATCAGTTTGGATATGACAGAGCTTTGTAGGAGGGGAGGGATGATACAGATGCAGAAAGAACGACCCCTGCAGTGATGGTAATGAGATTTTCCTGCAGTTTTGTAGAGGCAAATAGGGCGCACTGCCCATCCCAGACCTGTCAACCTGGCACCGGTACGGCTGGGCTGTGTGGTCGGTCTCCTGCTGCAAAAGCAGCTTGCAAAATTCTAGTGTAGAAAAATGCACTCAGAACTGGCATTTTAATGTCAATTCCAGATGAATTTTCTGGCTGTGTGGAAGGACCTCAAGATTCTTTTGATGCATTTACTGTGGACCCAGACAATGCTGGGTATATTTCAAATAGTATAAAACTGAAGTTCACTAGAAGATGAAATAAAAGAGGAAATAAAAGAAAGATGAAGCAAGGGAAGTCCAGATTTGTTCAAAGTTTTTTATATGTTTAAAAAATCTTACACAAGAAAAGGTTGCGTAAATTACAAAAGGATGGTTCTGATTAGGAAAGAGCAGAATCCTTCAAAATAACTAAAAGAGATTAATTAGAGCTGTGAAAAGAGTTTGTAGAAGCACTGGAAAAATCTAACTCCTCATAAAATTACTGGAAGAAAAAACATCCAAATCTAAAAGCAAAACTCCTTTCCCTTTTAGAAAAGAAAGAGGTTATATATAAAATAAATAAATAAAATAAAATATAGTGCACCCCATATGCATAATTTAATGGTGGGGGATTGCCTGTATGTCAGAAAGGAAGAGAATGTTCAAGCAAAAAGTGATTCACTGGTCCCAGTGGAATGAAGGAACCTCATTTTCTAGTCTGGATCATGGTTTGCCAGTGGGCAAAAACAAAAAAACAAAAACAAAACATGCATCTTTACTCATTCTAAGATCTTTTCCTGCTCTCTGATTGTTGCCTTTTCTTTTCCTCATTAAAGCAGGTTTCTCTAATGGTAAATAGTTGGTAAGTCAGAAGATGAAGGCATTTTTGTCACTTTGCTTTACTGAGCAGACACAGCATTTATTGTTGTAGTAGTAGTAGTAGTCATGGGGCACTAACATGACTTTAGAGTCTTAACAGGTTACACTTTAGACATAAGTCATTGAACAGATCCAGCTCTTAGCACCTCCTTCCTGACCCATTTTCATGTATCTTCCTCAAGGTCTGATCAACAAGACAATTCCGTATCTGTTAGGATCTGCCTGATCCTAACTTTTGGCATAAGAGAAATATTTGCTCTTCTTTCAACACCCAGCATTATACTCTACCTGGATAGGCAGAAATTATAATAAAGAGGAACAAGGAAAACAGCCAGTTCTAGAGCTTCAAGGTAACAAGTTTTAGTAATGCAGTCACATTAACTAGTTACATTTCATGAGATAACAAGCGAGAAAAAAGCCATATCTTAAAAGTAATGTAACAAGTAATAGTTATTTTATTGGTGTAAAATAACTATTACTAGATATTTTCACTTTTTTTTTTACTAAAGGGCATTTTATAGACATTTTAAAATATTATTTTCAAGTTGTTTCTCATTCTTTTATTACTTTTATCATCTCAACAAAGTAATAGAGGTAATGAGAAAACAATAAGCAGTAATACAAATGCCAGAGGTTTGTTATTTTCATTATTGTAATAAACAGTAGCAAAAAGTTACATTTCAAATTCTATAATTAATAATGGAACAAATTACTGTTTAGAAATAACTTTACAAGCTTTGATCAGTGTACAGATTATCTTGTATTCACCATTGTGCATCTATAGGAGAACTTATTGACTCCAATGGCTGCCAGTCTGCTACCGAGCACAATTCAAAGCCTATAAAGCCCTAAATGGTTCTGGCCCTGCTTATCTGTTTCAACGTATCTCTCCTTATGAACCATCTAGGAATTTAAGATCTTCTGGGGAGGTCCTGTTCTTGGTCCCACCTTCTTCATGGGTTCGGTTGGATGAGAGATAAGGCTTTCTCAGTGGTGGCCCCTCAGTTGTGGAACACCCTCCCTAGGGATATTAGTTCTGCCCCCACCCCCTTAATATTTCGCAAAAAAAGTCAAAACCTGACTTTGTGAGCAGGCTTTTTCAAATGCAGTGTAGCAGATAACTTCTTGACCTTGGAACGACTGGACAATTGTGATCAGATAATGATTTTGGTATTGAGATGCGGAGAATTTATGCTTTTATTGATTTTACTGTTATTGGAATTTTATGTATGTTCTATACTTTCAGCTGTTTTTATATTATTGGGGCATCGAATTGTGCCATTTTGTAAACCACCCTGAGTTGCCCTTGGGCTGAGAAGGGAGGGGGGTATAGAAATATAGTAAATAAAGAAAAAATAATAAATATTGTTAGGTAATTTGATACCCTAAACTTATGGCAAACTCAACAGATCATAATGTGTGTTAATATTGTTTACTTCAAAGTCCAGTCCTGAAATATTTGGGACATGTGTCTATTTTTGCTGAATAGAGTTGTGGACTTTCCTCCCAAGGTCCTGTTTTGATGGAACTTCTTTTAATCCTGTTCCCTGGAGAAAAGTGGGAGGAAGAAAAGATTGTGAACAATAGTGATATTCTTAAAAATAATTCTTGGAGGAAAATGGAGTGAGACTGACACAATTGAGTAAAAATAATTCTGGAAAATAGAAAAATGAGTTTAGAATTAAGTTATATCAGGTAGTGACTTTATTCAGAAAACTGGGGTAAAAACATAATTTTGTGTCAGTTTATGTCAGTTATATCCCAATGGTTTCTTCTAAAACAAGTATACTGAATTTACAGGTAGACTTTCACATTGTATTTCCAATTCTCCAACTATATAAATAAAAAATACTGGTTCCCTTTTACACTTTTGTAATAAAGTTTTCTCCGTGGATCCTTTATGACATCCCACTATCATCCTATTATAACCCATGCAACCCTGTTGTTTTGAGTCATTTATCACAAGTACAGCTGTTGGAAATTTAAGAAATCATTCTGTACAAAGTAAAATAGAGGCATCAGTTTCCTTGGTCCTTACTCTGATATAGTTAGAAAATATATTTGTTTATGAAAAATGAAAAGTGTATATATATCTGCAAAGTTACCAAAAAAGTTTTTCTGTGTAAAAAAAAAGAGATGTATTGTTTCCTTTTAGGGAACTAATCTGCTCTCAGGGTTTTTTGGGGGTTTGGAAAACCTTTACTGAAAAACAAGTCCATATTTCATTGATGTCAGATGCTGTCAACTGGCCAACACCAAGAAAACACTGCCTCAGACCTGAATTAAATGTATGAAGTTGTCACTACTTATGCCAGTAAAACCATACTTGGAATGGACATTGGAAACATATAAACAGACCATGAAGAAAAAGGTGTCATTATCCCACCAGTGGTTTACTGATGTTCTAGCACAGCTGTAACCTAGTTAAGATGCTGAAGTAGGATTGCATGAGTTTAGATGCTACTTTGTGATTAATTTAGTAGATTATCTTGAAAAGTTTAGTCTTCTGAGCATTGCCCTCTTCTGGAAATATCTGTATTGAAATAATGGCCTATTGAAAAGTTGTCATATAAACTGTTTGAAGGATTTTGGATACTGCTGCCATGTTATGTGTTGCATGATCCCATTGGGGGGAGGAGGAATATTAATACAACCTTCCAAGTAATCAAATAATGACTCATCACCTGAGGGAGATAAACTGGTATCGAAACACAATGTCATCTGCATCCTGTTGCCAGAATGGCTCATCTTATTACTAACACATCCCCCATTATTGATGGGTAGAACTCATCACAAACTGTCAATCTTACAACGTTCCTTCATCTTGTGTAATGGGGCTGTTCTCCTTTTGTGCTGCTATATTGATATTGAAATGACATGAAGGTGCAGGATTCTCCTCACCTCCCACTCTCGCCTCTACCTCTCAATTTTCCTGAATTGTTTTTTAAATTTATATTAATTTTTCCTGTTAAAAACAATGGCTAAAACAGCTGAATTGTTATAAAATAATAAAAAGAATTACAGAGCAGCAGAAATGCAGAAAGGTGAGATTATAGGAATATGCAATAAGAGTGTGGTGCCACAGATTGGCAAATTCTCACGATTGCACAAATGGGAGAGGTCCAATAACAAGGGTGCTCATACCTGTATGTATCCACTCTCCATACTTGCATGACTGCTATAGAATGCCAGATTGTCTTGCGATATTTTGAACGATTTGTATCTTCATCAACAAGAATACTTCATCCAGGAACTATCAAGGAAAACAAGTTTTCTGTGAAGTTAGAAAGTTTTTTTTAAAAAAAAATACAAAGACAAACCAAGCCATGTGGGGGATGTTGTCCCAATCATTTTTTAAAAATCAAACCTTGGGAAGGCAGGTTCATGCTTGTTTCACCGTCTATGGAACCATGGATAGGGGCTACATTTACTCCAAAGACATCTCAGAAGTTTTGATGCAATCAGTTTGGAAAAGTGATACAGCGCACAGAATTCCCTAGTTAGCATAGTTGTGGGCATAGTGGCTGGAAGATGTTGGGAACTGTAGATTAGGTTGGCGATGGTAATTATCAATTTGCACTGTCCTGATGTGTGTTGAGACAATTTACCTATATTTCTTCCCTAAACTATTGAGAGTTGTGGGATTTCTCTCCTAAGATTAGGAAACTGCACAGCTTTCTCTGGAAACTGCACAGATTTCTCTGGAAACTGCACAGCTTTCATGGGACATTATGTGTTTTTAAGCGGTCATGTACTGAATACATTTTTTCTGCAATTTACCTTCTGTTCTCTCCCAGAGGCTAAATGTTGCACAAGTGTGAAAAAATATTACAGCTGTCAAAAACAATTGAGGGGAAGCAGGGAAGTTGCCAGAATGTTGACATCTCCTTTCTGAGAGATGCAGCCTCTATCTAGGATTTTCTTTCAAAATTGGGGGGGGGGGGGGGGGGGGGTTACAGAGGGAAGTTTGGAGTGGCAGACTGCAGATGTTTGACAGCTGATGCATTAATTTCTATTTTTCCTGCAACTTCCCACCCTGCAAGCCCCAGTTCTGACAAGAGGCTGTGAAAAGCCTTTTCAGTTGTCAAAGCAGCTGGGGGGATAGGAAACTGAAACATCTTTTCGCAAGGATTTCTGTGAAAGAATGGAGCTTGTGGGGGAGGGAAGTTGTGGGAAAAACAGAAACTATATTGTCAACTGCCAAACATTTGCAACTTTGAAAAGATGTTTCTGCTGTCAAACCAGCTGGGTGGGAGGAGGAAACTGAAATGTCTTTTCACTGGCTGCAGTCAGGTTTTAGGCTTAGAGGGAGTTGGGGGGGGGGGGCAGAAACTAGATCATGAGCTGACAAACACCAACAACTCCCCCATCCTTACAACAACCTTCCACAACCCCCCCCCCCCCCAATCTTACACTAAAATCCTGATTAGAGGCTGTAGCTCTCAAAGAAGGGCTATCAACTTTCCTGCAAATACTTTCTTCCCCCACAGCAGATTTGAGCTTGTTCCACAATTGTAACATCTTTTCACAGCTGATAATTTCTGCACAACTTCAGGGATGTAAAGTTGCAGAAAAACAGTACTCAGTACGTGTCAGGTGGAAAAGCTGAGTATTTTTTCAATGACAGCTGTGCAGTTTTGGACTGGCAAAATGGCAAAGCTGTGGGAACTTCGCCTCTCTCCCTTTCTGCACAAATTTCCAAAAATTAATGGAAATCAAAAATTGGGAACTTAAATGTTGACTTCATTTAAGAAACTGGTGGATTTCCAGCCCATCCTTAGATCAAGATGCGAAAATAAGACTGCAACATTGTGCTGTGTGCACATTTTTTTGGAGAAAGCCTCACAATATAAAATGAACACTTTGCCCTGTGGAACACAATGAATCTTATTTTCAAGTTATCATGCATACTTACATTTGGGGATTAGAAGTGACCTTCATTCTGCATAATTTAATTAAATGTAAGTCCCTCTGAACTCAACTTTCTGCTATGTAGATGTGCACAGGGGTGTAGGCTTCATCCGTCTTAAATTCCAAACAGTCTTACTATCAAAAGTGAAGCTCTATCAAACAGTCATTAGAGGACTGAGTGCAGTTCACCATGCAATTTGCTCTAGATTTAGAGTTCACCGAAGTGCATTAAGAGACTTAACTCAGACTTTCCTATGCCTTGGCTTGATGCACTTTAAACCCTTTAGTTCACACTACACTGTGCTTTCACTACATGCATTGTGTAATCATCACAGATTGGATTACCACAGGTTTCAAGCTGCATTAAATGGTCAGTGTAGATATGCCCCTAGTGAAACATCACTCTGGTATTTCTCCTTAATTTCATTTGAACTCCCTTCTAAGTTGCTTTAGTCTCATAATCTAAATAAGAAGAATCTTGCTGTCAATTACAATTTCATATGATGATAATGTAAAATAATGGCTTACTAGCTTGTGTATAGCTCTGTGGTGTTGATCTAAAGATAACACTGTTAAACTAATTTAATTTTCATAGAACACCCCCACCCAATATGGATCCTTATTCTCTTCTTGAATACCCTTAGATTTTGCAACATGTAGATGTATATCACTTTCTTGACATCTTAATTAATTTTGGTCTAAATTTGATTTGCCAAAATCTTTTCTTCACATTGTAAACCCTGGCTGTTTTTATTCTGGATTTTAAAGGTTGCAAGTTCTAGAGCACATAAATCTGATAGTAAGCTCTAAAAGGATTGTTTTGATGGACTTAAATGCATATAATAGAACTGGGCAAAAGTGCCCATGGACAGTTGGCTTTCTTTTTAAAAATGAAATCTTTAATCAGTTGACAGGAATCATTCCTAAATAAATGAAAAGAGTTTGCTAAACTTCCAAAAGATCTTTCTGTAAGATTTGAGCTTTCCTTCCAAAATGGAGTCTGGGGAATGAAAGAAAAGGGGGTTCTTTAATTTCTAAGGAGGAAAAAGAGAAAAGGAAATGGAGTTGCCATTGCCCTGAGCATTCCTTAATTAGGGTTATCAAGACAACAAGGATATGTTGTGTGTGTGTCTGTGCAAACAAGCATGTGCTTAAGCAATCTATCTCTCCCCAACCTCCTTCCCATTCTAGTCCCTACCCTCATGGGCATGCACAGTTAGAACTTATCCTTATTGATATAGCCTTGATGTTTGAAGACAAATATGCATTGTCAGCTCAAGAGAGGAGAGCCCTACATGCAGTGGGGCATCTAAGTGAACCCCCTCATTGCTTCACCGTGGTAGACTGCACCCTCCACACCATGCTTAGTATGCCACTGCTTTTATCACAAACCTGACAGCAAAAATTAAGCTGATATAATTTTTGCATCCATTTCCTCCAAAGGCACATCTCCACTAACCACACAATTCATTAGTCCTCATTAGTCCTTATAATTGGGATCAAATTTGTTAAATTCGTAATTACGAGGCAATATCTGATACATGAGCGTGGACTGTGCCAAAGACTTAAGAAACAAAACTTACTCCATACATTTTTGTTTTAGTTTTGTAAATCTTGGAAGGCTCTCAAAGCAAAGCCAATAAGAAGTCTAGTTCCGGTTATGATGGCGGAGAGGTAACAGCTGACTTGCGGAGCGGTCTGGTGAGATTCTTAATCCACTCCCTAATCCTTTCCATCCGGAGCTCCCCCGATTACCAACTACCCCCATTGGCAACCCGAGGACTCGAAGGAGCCCTCGGGGTGGTCTTTTTGGTGGGTTTCCATTGAAGAAGGGGAGCTAAGAGGGAGGAAAGAGGAGAGGTAGAACGCTGAGGCCATCTCCATCTTGGCCTGGCAAGAGCGTTCCCCTCGGCCGCCTGACTGCTAATGCTTGACCACCTAAGTCGCTGATTTCCCACGGACTGGACTTACAATCTGCCTGTGGGCTGCCTCGTCGGTCTCCTTGCCGCTGCTCTGACTCCGTTTCTGACTGCCTGTTGCCTTTGGCCTCCGCCTGCCTCCGCCTGCCTCTGGCCTTCGGCCTCCGCCGCCGCCGGGCTGCCACGCGCTCCGGCCTGCCGCGCTGTTGTCGCTGCTCTTATCCCTGGCCGGGGGGTCGCTCCTTCCTGTGCCGTTTGGATCTTTGCCCGTTTGGCGCTCCGTCGGCGTCCACCTCTTTGGCGCTTGGCTGTTTCATCTGCCCTCGGCGCCGGCGCCGGCGTCCTCCTGCTTCTCCTGCTTGGAGGTCCTTAGCCGCCATTGCTTGGAGGACTGGGGCGGCCACTGGATGAGAACCTCCCATCGAGTGCTGGCGATCCGACGTGTCGGCCTGCGGGCGCGCCGGTGGTTTCTGGAGTGCCGTTCTCAGCGTGGAGTGCCGGCCTCTCCATTGTGCCTTCCATAGAGCCTGTTTACCAACGCGCCGGCTTCTCCACTTCGCCAGAAGTCCCTGGCCGCCATTCTCCACCTTGCCGGAAGTCCCTGGCCGCCATTGTTTGGAGGATTCGGGCGGCCTCTGAGTGAGGACCTCTGGCTTCCGACGCGCCGGCCTTTGGAGCACGCCAACGGCTATTCAGTGCACCAGCCTTCCATCGGGCCTTTTTACCAACGCGCCAGCTTTTCCATCTGC